CCTGATGGGATGGCCCCATGCTCAGGTTATTCCCCTGGGAAGATGGAGGCTGGATCTTGTCCCACTGGGTTTGTCTGCCCTTAGCAGCCAGCAGGCTGGATCCTTCCCAGAGATTTTGCTTCCATGATGCAAATGATTGTCATGTCAAAAATGATGCAGACGTGTGCCTGAAAGCATGAATTCAATCAGTGCTCATTAGAAAGTTGCTGTGCAAGTTCAGATCTGTTGCAGCATTGGAGAAGGGGCAATTTTGTCCTGAGAAACAGGATCAGGTATTGTGTGGTCCCCACAGCCAGCATAAATTTTAAAGCCAAAAAACTGTTTAGTTTGATAGAAATAGAAGCAAGCTTGTATCTGATCCAGATCAGATTTTTTCCTACTGGCAGCTGACAGTTGACAGATACAATATTAATGATGGTAGACCAAGTTTTGGAGTATTTACAAACTGGTATGTGTCTTACATGAGACCCATTTGCACATCTGACCTTAAAACAAGTGCAGAGAGCAAATTTGCTCGTACTGCCCAAAGGGAAACTCCTTTATAAGTACAGTTTGGCAAAGGGGGCATTGAGAAATGATTGTATATATGTACATGCGTCAAGAGCAATTCTCTGTACTTTCTTTAGCAAAAAGGCTCATTGTTTCTTGAAGCTAACAAGGATGGAAAGCGATGTGGCCGCTTGCAGCCTTCTGCACTTGGAAACGTACTTAACTCCCCTGGCTTGCCAGTCTTTTCAACATGGAGTGCTAACAGCTTGCTTCTGTAGCTCCTGTGCAGTCTTTCAATGACACCTTTGTCCCATGAAAGCAGTCTCTGACTTGTTTCTTTTTTTCCTTGCCTCTCCTTAGCCTCTCACACTCTGCAGAACTACTAGGTAGCTCTGTCAGACAGATCTTGCCTTTCAAGAGGAGTAGCAAGGGCAAGAAAACCAGCTCATTCTTAGGGCCTGAGCTTTAGTAATGAAATGTGTCTGCCACTGATAGGGAGAACTTGAGTCAGTGACTCAGCCGGGTCTCTTCTGGACCAGTGCTCCTAAGTTCAGGGAAAAGCTTGGTCATCAGAGCAAGGTACAAGAGCATGAAGTGAGGTTAAAATGCACTGGCATGTTTTGTGGGCTCTCCTCCACCTTACTTGCCAATTGCACTCAGTTACTCACTTGTCCTCTACCTTTTTTATCTCATTTGCTACATTATCTCATGCCAGTATCTCTTCATTCTTTCCAGTTTGATGTTTGTTAGGCAATAATTACTCTTAATTCAGTGTTTATGAACTGTGGCTGGTAGTTATAAACCTTGCTGCCAGCAGTTTGGCAATTGTTCATAGATGTCCAAAGAGAAAGTCAAAGCTGTTGACATAAGTAGGAGTCATGAACTCTGAATGTATAAAAATCCTGTACTGCAGTTTGCACACTGTGGTGAGTGGTGAGGAGGAGATATCTGTTAGGCTTTTGGCCAGCTGGTTATTCACATGGCTCATTTGGGGGAGGAGAATAGCTTTAAAGGCTGTTTTTCCCTGCAGCAGCTGCTGCCATGCTGATGAGAAAACAGGGCAGTTCACACCAGCTGGCAGCAGCAAAGTTCAGCCTCCTGGTCAGTCACTTCAGCTCCCCAGCGCCTTGGCCACCCAAGCCTGCAAGCTGGGAGGAGGTCACAAATGGAGAGGGGAACAGGAAAGGATGTATATGTGGGCTGACATTAAATATAAGGGAATAATCCCAAGATAATTTTCTAATTTAATTATCATCTTTAGTTAGGTTCACTGCAAAAATATAACAAAAAAATGTCCTTGAATTGCCCGTCTTTGAATTTGCCCACTGATGATAAGTTTCCGTTCGCCGCCTTTTGTTCTCACCATGCTCAAGTGTCCCAGCACCTCATGATGTGCTCAGACATTAGCATCTAGTGAGGCAAAAGCACAACCCATTTGGCAACTTCGTGGCTATATTAAGAGAGTAGGGTTTAGGTTTACCTTGCTGAACACAAATAAAAAGAAAGTAATTGAGAGTTCTCATCCTAGCACATTCCTCTGGTAATCTAAAAACAATACCAAATATCATAGGAGTCTCAACAGTATCTTAAGAGCTATCAGTCTGCAAATAATAATGAAACAGCGTGTCTTATAAGGAACAGAAGTATGTAAGATTTTTCATATATGTCTATGATGTCTCTTTTTGTGTAGGTGTATTCACGCTTAAGTGATCAAAATTTGCGTATAATAACTGTATTGCAGATTATGTAACAACTTTTGTGACATCAAGTTAGGCTTAGATTTAAACATTTAATTTTCTGAGCTAGCTACTTTTGCTTTAGCGCAAGTCAGATTAAGCCACAGTTAATACTAAGTGTCTCATACATTGATTTTGTTATTATTTTAATTTTATTTATGGACATTATATTTCACAAAAGCATCACATATAGCAGCATTTAAATATCGGGCAGATACAAACATATAACTACTTGTAACAAGATTCACTTAAGAAAAACTGAAAAAGTAATGAAATAATAATAATTTCATACTTAAAGTTGCTTTTAAGAAGAAACATTAGGGAACAAGACATCCTCAGAAACAGCACTTCTTTCCAAATAGTTTTCTGGGGCTAAGTCAACTGACTGGATGGTTCAGTTTCTCTTAAATCAAATACTAGATTATCCCTAATGCTTAGGTACGGATTGAATACCATCATGTGTAAGTCATGATTTTAGGAAGCACAGTCAGAATGGTGCTCATTCTACCTAAAACAATTAAATGTTTAGAACAATTTCTAAGTTGCTGTATATTTGTCTCATGCAGGTCATTGTTCATTGTCAACAGTCTGTGCTTTGACAAGCAGAAGGTTTTTTCTTTCCCATACATGAAGAAATAACAAGCAGTACAAATGTAGCCAGTATTACTGAGGCACCTAAACTGTGCTAGAAGAAAGCTAATAGAAGTCGTCCTGTGCATCTGTAAATGCATTGTGCTTCCAGAAGGGGTTGTTGCATCAGCTTACTGAACGTATTTAATAGTATTTTCTTTATGAAGTTCTTTAACATTAAAAAATGCATCTGAAGGGTTATGATCACTCACTGTTCTTTTACTCAGAGGTGGTTCACTGCCAGGACATAAATTAAAATTTAAGACCAACTTTCCCTTGAGTCGTCGCTCATTTGGGGAGTGCTTTCTTTTTGAGAGCCCAGCTATCCATCAGTGTTACTTTTATGGCACACAGCTCCTGGAGTATCTATAGTCCTCCCATTTTTCAGTGTAACTCAGTTCCTTTTCTAGAGTCAGCGAACACAGTAACATAAGAAACATGGCACAATGAGAAATTTAGGTGTGACTTTTGGAGCTGCTGTCTAGCCATAGGCCTGCTGAATGGTTCACGATCTCTAAAGGCAGCTTGTGATACTTGTTGTCCAGGGCTGTGGTTAGCCAGAGCTGAGTAGGAATGACAACTGCCTTTCCTGAAAAGCAGGTCACAAGACCCAGACAGTGTCCTTTCTCTCTGACACTGTGTTAGAGAAGAGCACAAGGTAACAAACTGCAACATTTAACTCTTTAAATAAATAGTCTTGGAATACCTTATTTCACCTGGACAAACAAAGTAAACACATTTTTAAACAAATCTCTTTGCCTGTCTTTCCGTTTCCTACTCCTCCCTTGCAGGGTCAGGCATCTTTCCAATTTTACTGTCTACTCCAGCTGCTTTTGGTGTCTCTCAGCACTTACTAATCCTTCGTGGTATTTAATCAGTGAGGAGGAATGTCTGCTTCTTTACATCACCTCTGAAGTTTGTCTCTGTGTCTGTCCCCTGACACAAGCACCCCCCCAGTTCCTCTCGGTACTATCCCGGGTTATACTTGTGCCCCATAGTCCCCCTTACACCTGTCTCTTGGTTTCCTCCCCTGGCCATATCTGAGTTGTGCTTACTTCTCTTTGGAGGGCAGCAGCCAGGATAAGAGGGAAGGCAGGTAGCCTACCATTCTGCACTCCTTTCCTTTCCTGTCTCTTTTTGGCACAAAACATATAAATCTGATGAGTTGATCTTGGCTGTCTGCCAGGCACCCACCCACCCGCTCTCACACTCTCTCCTCAATGGGACAGGGGGAAAATAAGGTGGAAGAGCTCATGTCTTGAGATGGACAGGGAGATCACTCACCAATTACTGTCATAGGCAAAACAGAGTTGACTTGGGGAAAATTAATTTAATTTATTGCCCATTAAAAGTAGATGAGGATGGTAAGTACCAACCCCCTGCCCTCTTTTTCCTGGGCTCAACTTCACTCCTTCATTCAGGGGGATGGGGAATGGGAACTGTGGTCAGCCCATAACATCTTCTCTCTGCTGTTTCTTCCTCCTCATACTCTTCCTCTGCTCCATCGTGGTTTCTCCAGGTGAAGGGGAGTCTCTGCTCCACCATGGAGCAGCACGTCCTCCCCTCCTTCCCCTCTCACCTTGGTGTCTGCAGGACTGTTTTTCACACTTTTTTCAGAGGCTGACATTGGTGGTGATATGAGTGAGAAATCAGTACAGCTGAGGGTTTTTTGATACGTAACTTTTAGTTGACAGGAGTGATGTAGGTCCCAACCTGGTATTTCATGATGGACAATCGAAATCAAAGATTGCTTCTGAAATTTTGCTTTAAAATTGACTCTCGAGTCTTCTGTGTTGTGCAAAGCGGACATAACCCTTTCCCTTTGCTTTCTGAAGACATCCAGAATAATTAACTTGAGGGTAAACTGACTCTTTGACAAATGTTACATGTGCAGTTTAATTTCAGGTCTGCCAAAAGTGTTCATGTAGCCCGTGTGCATTGGCATGCCTGCACACCGCTGGAAGTGCTTGCGCCTAGCTGTAGCACCACTAGACGCCTTTGCGAATCCATCACCTGATTCGGGAAGCACATCACAAGCAGTTCCATCCGGCTCGAGCAAGCAGATGTGTTATGCACCCTGATGTTGTTCTGGGATGAGATTAATTTCAGCACGCTCATATTAATCCATTATATGTCTCTTTCCAGCACAAATGGACCCCCGAGGCCTATCTCCCAGACAAATTAAAAGTGACAGTGATGATGACGACCTGCCAAATGTGACCTTAGATAGCGTTAATGAAACTGGATCTACAGCGCTCTCCATAGCCAGAGCAGTACAAGAGTAAGTATCACATTCCCAGAGCAAGATGAGTGTTGGTGAGGTGCTCCTGGGCTGATGGAGGCACCGGCCCTCAGCGGCACCACAGGGGTGTCTCCCCAGCTGCGGGCCGGCATACCTGCCGGCATCTCTTCTATGTAGCTTCATTTCTTTTAGGAAGAGATGGCTGTATCTCTCGTCTCTCTCTGATTCTCTTTTCCTTTCTTTCTCTCTGCTCTCATTATTAGGTAACGTTTCAGACTGAAATTGTTTCTTTGCATTTATTTACTTGCAAAGCTTGCAGCGTTTTTATATCCTCTCCAAAGGGAGACCATGTTAGGCTTTCACTCAGAAAACGTGGAATTTTTCTCTTGACTGAAAGCAACATCAAGAAGTTTCTTCTAGTTGCTGTCAGATAGGAACTACCTACATTCCTCCTGAAGGACAGTGTCATTGAAAGGAAATTAGCCAGAGGCTTTGACCAGTTTTTCCATTGCTCTTGCTTTTCTGTGTACTTTTAGTCTCTGAACGGGGAAATAATTTCTTAATTTCATGTCTGTATTGCCTGTTTAAAAAAAAAAAGTTTATCATGAATGTCAGCAATTCCGTAGATGCATGAGCTTGCTCAGTCACTGTAGCAGCTGGAAGGGAACCAACTGTGAGGTAAATAAGTATTAATATCCCCATTTTATAGGTGAGGAAAATGAGGTTATGCGTAAAGGTCACCCTTGTAGGTCTGATGATGAGCTGGAAATAGAACTAGAGCCTCTGGACAACAAAGCCTGTGCTAGATCCACAAAATGCATTACTTTATCTGAGAGGTTCAAAATATGGGCATTCTGGACATTGTTAAATAGGAAGGGATATCATAAAAGCCATTAGGCATTGTTATTATATATTTTTTTGTAGATGCATTTTAAATGTCTTTAACACAAAATCTGAATGTACTTAATATTTTGCTTTGTTTTCCTGGGCATCAGTAGCCAAAAGCACTGACATTTCCAAAGCGATCTTCTGTTTGCTGAGAGGAAACTCAACTGTGTTTGAGGGGGAAGTACTTTTTTTTGTGTTTTCACCAAGCATCTACTAGTTCCTCTTCTATTCAAGTGCAGTAACTGTGATCTTCAAATGTGTATTCCCCTTAAGCAGAGATGGAGATCTCTACCGGCAAGGCAAGGGCTTGGCTCTCACTGTAATTAGCATGCTCCCATTCTGACAGTGATAAAGGAAGGAGAGGTTCCTTCAGCAGTGACACTGTTGCTTGCTTGACGTGCCTCACACATGTTTTGAGTTCGCTAGTTACAACAGCAGGCCCTGAAGTGCTAAGTATTTTTTTCTCAGTTTATGGCACACAATAAGCCAGAAAAATAAAACAACCTGTCATGATTTTGCACTAAATAGTTCCATCTAGTTTATGAAAAGAGGAAGCATGAGGTGCTAGCAAATACTTCTACTATATGACTGACAGGCAGTTACTGTTCTCTTTGATTGATATTGCTTGAACACTTAGAAGATTGGTTAAACCATGAAAAGCTTTTTTGCTTTTTGACAATGCATTCCACAGTTCATGAAGGTAAATGTGTTGAATATTATTTGTCTGGCTCTGGAGCTTAAGAATTAAATTAAGAAATTTAATAATATGACATCAACTCATCCTTGTTACAGGTTTATTTAAACAGTAATCTGTTAGTTTATTTCAAAAGCCCCATTAGGAAAATCTAATTTGACTGTGATCTGCAGTTTTTCTTCTTTACTTTGTTCTCAGTCACAGACACCATACATACAGCTGCTGAGCTGAAAAGAGACATCAGTACGTTGTACTGACTCCACTCAATCCATTTCTTTCTTGGTCTATAATATAGTGCCTTACAGTTGGGCTCTCTTCTTAATTTAGGCATCTAACATGTACCTTCATATTAGATGTTTAGCAAAGCAGTCCACCGAAAATAAAAGCCCGCATTCTACATACCCTTGTTGCAGAGAGGAAAGTGCCTTTGAAGCCTTCCAAAGGGAGATCCTGTGTGCTCAGTTTCAGTGTCTAAACTTAGCAGACTGGAATTTCCTCTGAGGACGTGGAAAGGAACCTACTGTTCTGCTGAATAACTGGGCAGCATAGGGGTGTGCATAGAAAGACTGCTCCAGTAGGCAGTAAGTGTAGGTCTAAGCCAAGTGCCTAAGTGAGGTAGGCTGGACCTCAGAGTCTAGAAGACTGTCCCACAGAGTGTGTTCTTTCTTCACTGAGTTGGTAAGCTCTTTCTTGTGAATAGTTATACAGTTAAAAGTAAATAACTTATTGGAGAGAGAGAGTCTTCTCTTCTTGTGGAATACTGGCTGGGAAGTACAGAATGGCATCTCCAAAGGTACGGCAGCATCCTTTTCTTCAATACCTGATTGCTGTTGTGCAATCTTGCCTTCGTTAAACAAAACACCAAGCCTAGTTTGTAAATGCTGGTGGCAGGTGCAAGACAACAGTTGACCTTTTCCAGGCTGTTTTTCAGGCATGTTTTAAATTACCTTGCACAGGGGTTATGCACATATATGTATGTACATGTATTTCCCTATTGCCACCTATTCTCCAGGAGCAGAAAGGGATTTCAAATACCCTGTGGTGGTATTTGCTTTGGGTCAGTCCTGTGCAGCCCCTCACACAATGTGTGGGTCTGTGGGGGATTGCCTTGGTGAGGCTCCTTACTTTCCCTGTGCGCTGTCTGTGGGGTTCAGGATTCATCTTTCCTAGTTAGACATCTGCAACATAGGTATCTGCATCTGAGCTAGTTGTCTCATCTCCCTGCATACAGACTGGATTGCAGTTGGCATGTCCGGGCGGTAATTCTTTTGACCTATTCTAGCTGTCTGATTTAGGGAGAGAGAGTGAGTCAAGCCCATGTTCCTCTCCATTGACTGCAGGCAGTGCAGACAGCTGCCTGGGACACATGTGTCAGCACTGCAGATCTCAGGTGTGAGGGGAGGGTACGGCAATCTGCGGCGCCTGACTGGGGAGTCAGCGTGCCAGAAGCTGGGAGTGACAGGACGATACTGAATGCTCCAGCATCTTCCCTTGGATCTAAATCTGCCAGGTGGGGTTCACCCTGCCAAGGTTTTAACCACGAGCTGAAGGAAATCAACTGGTCAGTGTTCAGGGAGGAACTGCTGTTTTAGTACAGACTTTTTTAACTTGTTGTCTTGGAAATTACCCTTATGTGGCTGGGTCCCAGGACAGTTTGGAATGCCTATAAGAAAGCTTTGCTTTTCATGTCCTCTAAAACTGGAAGACATCCACCTGTGTTGCTCCTTCGTTTCAGGTCCTCTATAGTCTTACAAGAAAAAAATTCTTACCAGTAAAAATTGTGACAGTCAGACATTAAGAGCCACATGTTTGGCATTAGTCCTTAATTACTCAAACAGAAAGTAATTTGCTTGCATATTTGTAAAATAACTAAGTATGACTATTTTTTCTCAGGGAAATTGCCTTCTTGCTGATAGCTTTGTATTGGCTGAGCTTCCAGACTTCTCAATAGTTCTTTTGGAATGACTTCATAGTACTTCCTCAGTTCAGCAAACCAAATCAATTATGTAAAGTTATAGATAAACAAAGTCATTATTTCAAGCAGGGTACTTTGGTGAATTTTTTTTATGTGACAGTGCTGCTTTATGGCAGTCGCTATGCCTTACTATAATATGGACTAAGAATAATTTATTAATCTCAGATAATATGCTCTGGCTGATAATAAATATTGCAGCAATATGTAGATTTCAGTGGGCTTTGCATTGTAAGCAGCATTTCATCCTCTTTGTGGCATGTTTTACAAACACATTTTGACATGTAGCTCTCTAACAAAGACCAGATTTGCCTCTATACACCTGACACCGCTGATGCTTATTAGACAGCGAGAATAGCATCATATATTCAGGGTCAAATCTCAGATACGCTCTGGAAATCTTTATGAATCCAAGGGAAGAGAAGGCATTAGTCAAGCTCTAAAAGACCAGTAGAACTTTTTAAGGGCCCCTCTCAGAGGCAGCGTCCTGTTCCCTCAGCCTGGCAGCCCTTCCATCCGTAGGCAGCTCTCATGCAGCGGGGCTCAGGAGACATCTCTGTGGCACATAGTAATGCAAACCCTGAGCAGGGCGTTCATCTTTTACTGCGCAAATGTGCATGGAAAGAATACATTATTTTACAGTATGCAGCTCTCTCTCTCTCTGAACACACTGAACACGCACAACATAAGATCTACTTCCAGAGACTGAGCGCAGAAGCAGGAGAGGCAGAGGGTGACTTCTAGCATGAACTTTTGGTCAGTGTACCAGTGAAAATCCAAAGATCCAGAAGTTCCTCCTTTTCTCTCTAGACTTTTTTCTCCTTGGGGGTTGTAGGCAGAGGGAACCTATTTAACAAAACAATTTTTTCGTTCAAATAATGTCAAGGAGAAGATGGACTGTGAATATAAACTGATGATGCTTAAGGTGGCTTCTTAGTTTTGGGGGTAATGGAGAGACAGAAAATTCAGAGAGGAGATCCTGAATACTTGTAGTTATAGCTGCAGTTAATTCATAACAATGTGATTTGTCATCTGGATGTGACCGTGGTGACCTTTAGCGTGAACTCTTCTTTGGGCTGAGCTGGGTGCCACTGAATGCTTTTATGAAAGTGAGATTAGGGGCTTTGACCCTACCCCCTGTTCTCTTTGTCTGTGTTATGTGATTGATACATCAATGCTCATGTGATCATCTTGCTTTATTTTTCAATTCTGCTGGGTTTTATTCTATCAGTACAGTGGAAGAGAGTTTTTAATATTGCACTATTGAAAAAGAAATTCCACAGCAGACAGACGGCATAGCCACAGTACCAATGTACTCTTAAATTGGTATGTATTTTTGAAATCTGAATATTTTTCCTTAGATATCTTTTTTTCTCCCTCCTCTCCTTCAACGTAAATCAACCTCTGTGGTTGACTTTTATCTCTTTTGAGGTTTATGACTGTGTTCCCATTAGACATTCATTTTCTACACTGTTTTCCTCCTTC